TTCAAGCTGGATTCAGAAGAGGACGTGGAAGGAGGGATATCATTGCTAAAGTCCAATGGATCTTGGCTGAAAGCAGATAATATCAGAAAGATGTTTACCTGTGCGTTATTGACACACAAAGGCTCTCAACTGCGTGGATCATGACAAGCTATGGACAACACTGCACTGCAGATATGAGTATTCTGGAACACTTAATTGTGCATGGACCAAGAGGCAGTTGTTTGAACAGAACATGGGAACACTGAATGGTTTAAAATGAAGAAAGGTGTGTGTCAGGATTGTATTGTTTCACCAAATTTATTCAACCTGTAGGCTGAGCAAATAATCCGAATAGCTGGGTAATATGAAGAAAAACGTGACATCAGGATTGGAGGAAGATTCATCAACAACCTGTGATATGCAGATGATACAACCTTGCTTGTTGAAGGTGAAGACTTAAAGTATTTACTGATGAAGATTAAAGAGCACAGCCTTCGGTATGGATTGCATCTCAATGTAAAAAAAAAAGAAAAATCTTCACCACTGGACAAAAAAACATTCTTATCAATGGAGAAATGATTGAAGTTGTCAGGGACTTCATTCTTCTTGGATCAACTATCAACACTCATGAAAGCAGCAGTCAAGAAATCAGACAATGTATTGCATTAAACAAATCTGCTGCACAAGAATTTTTAAAGTGTTGAAGAGCAAAGATGTCAGCTTGAAGACTAAGGTGCACCTGACCCAAGCCATGGTATCTTCAATAACCTCATATGCATGCGAAAGCTGGACAGTGAATAAGGAAGATCGTAGAATTGATGCATTTGAGTCATGGTGTTGGAGAATATTGAAAGTGCCATGGGCTGCCAAAAGAACCAACAGATATGTGTTGGAAAAAGTGCAGCCACAGTGCTCCTTGGAGGCCAAGATGGCCAAACTTTGTCTATCATACTTTGGACATATTGTCTGGAGAGACCAGTCACTGGAGAAAGGTATCATGTTTGGTAATGTGGTCAGAGAAAAAGAGGAAGACTCCCAGAGAGATGGATTGGAAAAGTGTCATCAATGGGCTCAAGCATGGCAACAACAGATGGTGTCCAGCTATCATTAACACCTGCTCTGAAAAGGATATTAGGTCTTGGACACAGTGGGAGAAAAGGAGGAACAAAACTCAAAATCCTAAAAAAGGACCACTAACTGGTCAGATAGATTGGTGGAACCCCAAGACCATGACGCTTGGTTACCCTTTACATCTAAAATTAATTTTCAGCCACATAATGCATAGGTACATAAAGGGGACAACTCTAGTGAAGTGTGCACAGCCATTGGAGATTAAAGGGGCTCATCTACCCAAGGACCAAGTTCAGGATTGAGCAATGAGGAATGGAACCGGACACCAGGAGGAAATGGAATAAGGAGGTGCATGGAGAGGTTTTGCAATCATTGAGCTGAGACAGTTACCTGATTTGTTAAATGAAAAACTGATGATCTGGTCTGTAAACCTGCATACAATTCACAATAAAAATTTATTTTAAAATAAAGGTATTTTATAGCATATTTGCCCTAATACATCATTTGATTTCTTGACTACTACTTCCAAGGGCATAGATTCTGGATCCAAGTTAAATTAAATCCTTGATAACCACAATCTTTTGATATTTATGATGTTGCTTATTGGTCTGGTTGTAGGATTTTTGTTTTATGCTGAGTTGTAATCCATACTGACAGCTGTAATCTTAAATCTTCATCAATAAGTGATTCAAGTCCTCTTGGCTTTCAACAAGCAAGGCTATGTTGTCTGTGTATTGCAGGTTCATCAATCTTCTTCCAATACTGACTGATGCTATGGTTTTGTTTTTTCAAATAGTTCAGCATACAAATTACATAAGAAATGGTATCTTGTCATGATTTAGGTTAGCATTTCTCTAATGACTAATCACAATGTACACCTTTTAATATGTTTGGTGGCACTAAATTAACCACAAGGTTGATTGTTCATACCCACCAGTCCTTGGAAACCATATATAGCATCTCTCTGAGTCGGAATCAACTTGATGGCACTTTATGTTCATTTTGCCCACCAGCGTCTCTGAGGTGTATATTATATTATGTATATTATTAACAACAATAATAATGTATATTATTAACAATAATGTATATTATTAACAACACACCTGGAACTGCTACAAATAAAAACCTTCCAGTAGGAATGGTAGATTGGTTTGGACTCACATGTCAAATCCACTAGATAGGGTGACTGCTTCAAGTGTTAAGACTGGGTACAGTTTGTACTACTTAGCAGAGGGCCAAGGGCAATGTCAGAGATCTGCCATGGGCACAATGGCAGTAATGTATTTGTGCCCGGCCTTACGCTGAGACTTTATTCCTGAAATACTTGTTTCTACTGTGGACAGGGTACCTCACAGTATCACATCAGACAGGTATCCTGATATGAAACACAACCAAACTTATGCAAATAAAAGGAAGGATTTGTGTGACAAAATAGAAACCTTAGCGGGAGCTTTCTAGAAAAAAACTAAAAGACACTGTTATGGAATCCTGGTGTGGCACTGTGGGTTAATGCGCTGGACTGCAAGGTCAGCAGTTCGAGCTCATCAGTCACTCCCTGGAAACCCAATATAAAGTCGCTAGGAGTTGGAACCAACTCCACTGCACTTAACAAAGAGATCTTATATGGTCAAAATACCAAAGATTACAATTTTCTAATGTTCTTATTCATCTGAAAAATTCGGTGTGTTTTACATATATATACACACTCTTTTAGGAGAAAACATCAGGATTGCAGCTTGGTATTTTAAATAATGTTAATTATGTATGTTTATTTGTAATATTAAAACTTCCTGTAAATGAAACATGTTACAATTACCTATACACATTAAATTTTCACTATTTACAATATGAATAATTATGGAATGTTTATATACTGCAATCATTGAGTTATAGAAAAATTACATAAACAATATAAATCCGATGCCCAATTGTTTACAGATAGGAAAGTATTCTCAGTGAGTTCTCAAACTGTCAAGTATAAATAGGATGAGGTCAGCAGTACTTAAGATGAGGCACTTTAACATTCACCAAAATAGGTCGGTAAGTGTACAAAACTGTAAAACATTTCTGTATTAATCTTACCTATGATTTCAGATGTGATTAATCTGAGATGGTCTAATCGAGGACTATTATAAAACTTTTATTCCTTGTCCTTCTATCACCTCTTAGGCCAAGGCAACATAACTAATACCTAAGATATGCACATCACTACAAACAATGGGCTAACACACACACAAACATTACCTAATGACTCTTGGGTTTCAGAAAGTGACTATTTCAAATTAGTAGTTGTGCATGATTTTCTCATTAACATGGCCTCTAATAGGCAAACTATGCTATCTACCATATTCCTAAAAAATTTTCCCCTAAACGATATTGTACTGCATTATTTAACAGAATCACAACTTATACAGCTTTACATACTTTCCCACATGAATTTTTTAAGTACTCAGGAAAAGTAAATAATTAAATTCACTGATGCTTTCTAGATTATACCTTAAGACAAGAAAAAGTAATAAAGACCAATGTTTTCTTATGCCAACTTTTTGCAAAAGACCTTGTAAACACATTAGGCCAACTCATTTTCCAACTTTAAATCATGTTATGTAAATATATGTACATTGCATATTTTGGTAACTAAAAAAAAAAAAACACAATTGATTAAAGACAAGTCCCATTGTTTCATGAATTCATTGTAAGAGAAAATGAAAGTAGAAAGCAAATGGGCATATCATCAGAACAATGTCTGCCCAAGTCACGCAGACTGGTTTTTAAAAGCACATCCAGAAATTAATGCCATGATGTGACTCTCTTTATGTTAGTTTATTTTTGGAAAATTAGTAAACTGAATAATTCTTACATCCACAACCTAAATTCTTTTAATAAACATACAATTTAGTACTCATCTGAGCATCGACAGTTGTTCAAAGTCCATTGATTTCAATCCCTTGCGTTTTAAATAGTTTACAATATGAAATCTTAAAACTTTATCTATTTTTTTGTTTGAGATGACAATTTTGTGTGTGTGTACATGTAAGCACATGCCCCAGGAGTGCCCCCAGTTTGGCTCCGGTTTTAGAACCGGAAGCTGACTGATTTTCAGTTAAATGGAAAGAAAGCATACGTCTTTAGAATGACAAAAATTAAACTTGGCAAAGGTAGTGTTTTATTTACAATTGCATGGAACAAGATTCCAATAGAAACACTAGTGAAACCATCGGAACAAAAGCAATGATTTATTGGTGGTGGGAATAAATGCATATTGACAGTCTCTGCAGAGAATCAAGCAAGCATCCAGGAGCTGCAAATCAGATTGCAATATGGTCTTCCAGTGTTCTTTTGTACCTTAGTGACTTTCTCCTTTTTTGCCAACTACCTAGAAAACAAAAATAATTTTATATGCACATCATACTGATTTGTAAACGGTACTCAAAATTACCAATGTGGTAATCATTTTAAAAACTATTTTTATCCTTGAATCTTTTTTGGCATGCAGTGTTGTGCTTTCGTTGTTGAAGCAAACTGTGACCCCTCCCTCCTAGCCTCAAGGAATTAAAAATAAAATGCATGCAGGCTATTTCTGGTTTCCCACACTGTTTTAAGAAAAAGCAATGCAATTTTCAAAACAAGGTTGACAGTTTAGAAAAGTTAATAAAAACGATGTTGCTATATGAGTGAAACACATTTGGCATACTATTTTTAGGCAATTAGAACTCAAATGTCGATCACAAAATAATCTGGAATTAAAAGAGTATGCTAAACTCATGTCTTCCTGCCCAACATGACAGGTTACTAGACTTTTCCCTCAATATGTAGACATGCAATAAAACAGACTAAAGATGACCCGTTTTTCCTGGTTTCTTATTTTTAAAAATCCTGGTTGTACACGTGGAGTACTATAAACTGTTGAGAACAGTCTTGACTCTGTCAATGATTCTAGAAAACTGCTGTATGTGAGGGCTCCAAAGTATTTCCTAAAAATATTAAAGTGGCTGTAAATGTGATGACAGGTGTACACATATAAATAACAACCCTGGTTTTGACCAGCAAGTCTACAACACTAACTCTGTGGGAGGGTTCTAAAACTATGCTCTAATCACATAATTGACCTCAAGCCTAGAGTCATCACTGAGAATATTTATGTTCTCCTAGCAGAAATGCCTCTGGAGTAATCTACTTGAAAGACACTATTGAATGTCTATTTGTATACAGTAAGATTTCTGTGTACATTTGTAACTGTAGTTTTCCTATTTTAATTGGTTCTGTTCCCAATGGCAATGTTTGTACCAAGCAAAACTCATAAAGGTAATCAGTATTATGTCTGGCCCAAAATAGCACACAGATGGGTCAATGTCATCCAGTAATAAAAATACAAAACCTTTCCACTAACTTTTCAATCACACAGCACCAGAAATGCCTTTTCCCCCCACTTCAAGGGAAACCACTTACATTACTTAAAAAGAACTCTTCTTGGTCCAAGGAAACCAAGTTGAGTCAAAGGGATGCTTAAGAATGCTAACAGTTTCACAAAAGGGGACTGTGATATTCATAAGAAATTCTGGTTTTAAGAGATTTGAAAGAAGGTAGTATCATTTGTATCAGAAAGCATTATCTTGAGAACACACAAAACATGGAGCTATTAGATTAAGCAAAAGAAAACCCAAACAACTAATATTAAAAATTAAAATTTTAGCAGATGTGATACAGCAGAAGATACAAATCTGCATACTATTTCACAGGTTGATAACTCTCAATTTGCCGATGTGTACTCTCTGTAAAAAAGAAGAAATTCAGCATTCTAAAATGGATTTTCTCACCCTAAACATAATGTTATTTTTATTTACTGTTAAGTCTTTACATTTGCACCCCAGACAAATAAAATTCTAGGTACATCAAAATTACATATCAAAGATATTCATTCAGTAAAGAGTCCATTGATCTTCTATGCTAATACTTAACCCAGTCCAACATTCAGTCCACAATTGGCCTTCAACTGGCCTTGAGCATACCTGGTAGGCAAAAGCAGAAGATATGGCCACACCAACCATCAAAAAAAAACTTTGGGGTCAACATTCCAGTAAGAAAAGAAACCCACACCCCTCAACTATGGCCTAACCATTATGTTATATAATATATACTAATAGTATAAAAAAAACTTAGAAAATCACCCATATTCCATTTCCAAAATGATTCCATAAATTTTAAATAATAAAACTTAAAGTTTAGAATTAAAACGTCATCCTACAACTTGTTAAATCTGAAAACTACTTCCAATGATGTAATTTTATAATACTAATACTTATAATGTAGTACAAAATTAAACATGAGACAGTAGAAAGGCAAAAAAATAACAAAAAAAGCTGGGTGAGCAACAAGGGATGGTGATGAAATGAAAGCACCTAGTTATAGGTCCACAACAAAACCAGAATGCCAACTGAGACACATGACGAGAGGGATTTGAAGAAAGAGGTGGTTGCAGCAATAGGTAACCAGAATGCTGGTCCCGATGATAGAAGCTGTAGAAATCTTGCACCCACAATGGCGAGAACATGGGAAGGGGGAGAGCAGACAGGTGCTAGATGAGCGGAGAAGCAAGGAAGGGAGTAGAGTGAGATAAGGTCAATCTTTCTATTACTTCACTTTAAAAAGTCTTCTGGTTTTAGTTCATTTGAGTTGGATTAAAAAAGCTGAAAAATAAACAGACAGAAATGTTACAAAAAGAGCTGATATGGTGAATGGCCAGTTTAGAAATGTCTATTTTTATTACAATGAGAAAGCACTAAACTAAAAACTGCTCTCTTTGCTTTTCACATGCACTTCATTCCCTAAGAAGCAGAAGCCCCAACAATTCTGCTCCTTTTAAAACACAAAGATTTTAATACTTATTAAAATAACACAATCCAGCATGCTCTAAGCAAAGGAAAACATCTACTTCCAATTAAAATGCAAGTTTTTCATGCTGCAACACAAAGAACCCATTCACAACAACAAACAACCTAAGTACATATTATAATCTGTGCATGATACCTAAAAGTGCCAAAAAGAGACAAATGGAAGGATTATTCTAGACCATCAATTCTTAAAAGTACAACCTTAAAAAGTTGCAGTCACATGCACGGTGGTCTAAGATTTCTATCCACATCGAAGATTCATCAGCATTACCTTAGCTTCTGTTATTTCAGCGACAAGGAAAAGGCCAATGACTTTCTGAAAGCTACAATTATCTAGAGACAGCTCATAGCAAAAACAAAAACTGAAAATGCTAGACATTGAATCTATTTTATTCCATCATTGAGCCATTCTATATAGCTCTCTTTACTACACAGAGGTATCAAAACTTACTTTTCTGTGTTGGAAAATATATACCAAAGCTGTTTAGAAATTTTAATTTCTCATTAATTTCTCATTAATATGTACAATCCTTTTTAAATTCAGACTAAATAAACCAAAAGAAAATAATTACTATGCTTGGCTTTGTCCTTGAATGAGACTCACATCTTTCCTACTTTTCCATTTTACCTGGACGGCCCATCAGTATCTATTCTATTTGAATTCTATGTTCAAAGCTATGTTCAAGGCCCTTTTCCTAGACAAAGTATTCTCATTTTTTAGCCACTGGTGGGAGGAAGAAAAAACAATGGAAGTTGGGAAATCATGAGACGATTTTTTGGAGGAAAAGGGCCGGGAACTTAGTTTTGATTAATGTCAACTTTCCATATGTTTTTGTATTATTTTTCAAACAATGTAAGCTCGCTATAGAGAGAATGAGATCATGAAAGATCTTGATTAAGTGTACTATAAACTTAGCAGAGCACCACAGGGATAATTACCACATCACATAGTTGTTATTTCCTTCACTTGAAAACCAGTCATTTGTAATTGTTAATAAGCAACACTAAAACAAGGGGCAAAATTGTGGCCAATTTCAGTTCAACTTAAGCCCTGTACAGTTTTCATTGTATTCTTCTTACACTGAAGTCGTTAGCTTGGTTTAATATAAAAATCAATGAGATCTTAGTGTATTTTTGAGGCATACCTCTACAAGACAATGGTAAGCAGAAGAAATCTCATTCAGAAACCCAAGCACTGAAGTGTAATAACTGCTATTGTTGCTAAATGCTGCCAAGTCTGTTTCAACTCACAGCGACCTGTGTAGGATTTCCGAGGCTGTACATCTTTATGGGAACAAAAAACCTCATTTTTGTCACACAAACCAAGTGGTGGGTTCAAACCACCAGCCTTGTGGTTAGCAGCCCAATGTTTATCCTACAGAGCCACTGTGCTCCAATATAAAATATTATTATATTTTAAAAAATCATTTAACCAATTAAAATCGATCAAACATTAAAGGCAAAGGTCTGAGAAACCCAAACAGCGAGAAGGAGCTCATTTACCACATTAGAATTATGCTCACAGCAGTTTCCGCATGTGATCCAGGCCTGTCAGAAGTCGGTGAGGCCAGCACTACTCTGACCAGCATGCTCGGCCCTTCCTTGCCCTTTCACCTCCTACCAGTACACAGCAAGCTTTCCAGAGGCTACAGGAGGTGTTAGCATAGCTAGCTACCTGCGTGAAAATTGTATTAAGCTACATATTAAAAAAATATGTTATGTTGTAAAACAATGATTTTCTTCTCCCTAAACTGCTTTACATTTTGGAAAATACAGTTATTTTAAATTTGAAAATGTTATTTATAATAAGCATGTAATGGGCTTATTATTATCTGTAAATAAATCTTTTACATTATTTTCACCTTGAATTGCTAATATGGTAAATATTAGATTATCAGGCTGCTGTTGTTGTTACCAAGTCTATTCTAACTCATAGCAACTCTGTGTAGGAGGCAGCTAGCTGGTGGGTTGGAGCCAACACCTTGTGGTTTAGCAGTCTAGTACTTATCCTTCAGTGCCACACCAGGACTCCATTAGATAGCCATAGCCTATAAAAACATATGCCTAATAGTTTTGAGATAAAAAAGTTTGAGAACTGCTGCGCTATTAATTAAAGTAAGGTAAGGTAATGAAGTAGAACACTGGAGTGGTGCTGTAGGGTAACACCGCAAGGTCAGCTTGAACCTCAAGGCCTTTAGTTCACACTAAAGATGGGCAGCAGTTCAAACTCATCAGCGCTCCTCAGAAACTCCACACAGGGTCACTTTGAGTAGAAACCAACTCGACGACACTTAACAACAAGAGGTATATAAAGTAGTATTAAATGAAAACATGGCTAACTTCAAACACAAGTTTTATAATATCCTGAGGACAGTTCAAAAAAGTAATTTAGCAGTCAAAAAAGAAAAGAAGAGGCTTGAAAAGTTGGGAGGAGAATGTTAAAAGCAAAAATTGTTGTTGTTGCTAAGTGCTGTTGAGTCAGTTCTGACTCACAGTGACCCTGCATAGGATTTCCCAGGAGCAGCTGGTGGGTTCAAACTGCCAAACTTGTGGTTCGCTGTCCAGTGCTGATCCTATAGAGCATTAGATGCAAATTAGAAACACTTTAACCAAATGGCAGGCTATAACAGAAGAATGGCAATAGAAGGTTGCTTACTTACAGAACAAAACAGAAATCAAACATTAAGAGCCTAAGCTGGGATGAGTAGGCTATTACAACAAAAATCACAGCATGGGCAGAAAAAGACTATGAAAAGAATGATGCTGAAAACAAACTACGCAAGGCAAAGTTAATGCAATATCCAATTATCAAAGAATGCCAACAAGCAAAGTAACAAAGCAGGAACCCAAATCTTTGTTGTTCACACACATTTTGCCAATAAGACACATTTTATACCATAAAAATGCAGATGTTTATTAGTTTCTGCTTTGGGCCTGTCATTATACATGTCAAAAATCTAAACAGGACAGATCTAAGCATATAATTATTCCTGCAACTCCTAAAAGTTATCATGCTGCCAAACAGGAAGAATTGAAAACGACCACTAAAACACCTATTTGCCAAGTATTTAAGTTTTGTACAACAGCATACAATTGTCATGCAATGATGTGAATTTATCTGTAATTGAATTAAGTGAGACCTATAAATACCACTGAAAGAGTAAGAATTCCCAAGGTAGTCTATAGCTCCAATCCCCACACAAGGGTGGGTGGCTCTCAAGTGTTAGTGGCGTGCTCCTTCTTCCAGGCACTGGAATTCCTAAGGAAACCTGTTACAATCATTTCCGGTTCTTGAGCGCATGCCAGTTACAGCCATCAAGTACACTGCAATCCCGTGCTGCTACATGTTTCAACTGTAACTCATAGCTGGTGCTCTTCTGATAGCTCCCCACCTTATCTGTTATAGTGTACTCTTAGGCTATGTAAGCGTAGTCCTAGGGAACTGTTAGCAATTAGAAGTTCCAGGAACCTATGAAGGGTATTAGACCCCATTCCTAAAGATCCCATGTACCCTATCAATTCTTAATAAAACCTTAGAATTTTCCTATTTCATATATATATATATATGTATATATATATATACATAGTAGTAAAACTGAGTCTGTTCTCTCAGATTAAAATTGTTCAAGGGGCTTCAAGAAGTCCATGGGAAAATTGTATTATCTTTCAATTCCATTTTCCACAATTTTTTCGAAGCCCCCATTGTAGTTTTCTATCACACACCACTTTCTTTCTACAGCCAGACTATTATTTTCACCTGTCTTACATAGATGATAATGAGTAGATATGATATTAGTACAATTTATCATTTTTATTAAAGACTTTTACTTTTAATTGAACATCTAAATGTAATTAGGAGAATTTGCTGACTTAATCATAAAGAGTTCTTTAAAAACGTCATTTACATAATATGATTTGGGATCTTTATAATTAAAGAGAAATTGTGACTATTTTAAATATTTGAAATTATTCTCTTAAAATTATGCTTTTACTTCTCTTAAATATTAAAACAAACTTACTCGTTTGAAGTCATTCATGTTTGTAGCCTGGACTGGAGTACCAATAAAAGTAAAATAGGAAACTTACTCGTTTGAAGTCATTCATGTTTGTAGCCTGGACTGGAGTACCAATAAAAGTAAAATAGGAAACTTTTGTTGTTTCTTCTTCACCTTGATTCGACTGAACAAATATCTACGTATAAAAAAAAAAAAGAATTTTTACATTAAAAATGACAATCCCATTTTCCTGTTTATTCTTTGTAACTAACTATTTATTGTGACTTGGGTAAAAGCTTACAGAGCAAATGGTTTTCCATTCAATCATTCATACATATTTGGTGACACCTATTGCAGTCCCCACGGTGTACCAGCACTCCCCACTCCCTCCCAGATTACCACCTTCCCATTTATCCTCTCTCCTATTCCTGCCTGCCTTCTGAGCTTTAGTGCTGGGCAAATGCTGCCCACTTCAATCTTGTATGGTTGACTGTTATAAGGAATGTACATGTCTCTGTGGTTATTATTCACCTTATAGGTCTGTCTTCTGTTAAGCTGAGATTTCTTTGGATTAGTAATAAAAATATCCTCCATTGCTTTATGAGAATTAATCCATATTCAGAACAGGTCTCTCACCGGAACTATTGATTTCACTGTCTGTTTTGCTGTTTTTACCTCCAAGAATGGCAAAACCCATACACATACAGGTTCATGATAATTCACTGGGATGGTATGAAGGGCGTCTTGATTACATGATTTTATAGAAGATGTGGAAAGGAAGTATGATTTTTAAATATTAAAAGAAATAATATTATTAGAAATTGGCTCACAACTATACTGTGTGCTCAGTAACTTTTTACGCTTGAACCAATACCCAACCCCTTAGCATGTTAGGTGGTAGAAGCGTGACTCAGTTTCCAGGTTGACCATATTTAAAAACACAACACTGACTGTCCTGTTCACTTAACAACATTGTTTCCCTTGATCTGGACTACACACTTCTTTCAGTCTAAGATGCCTTCCTCAGTCAGTTTTTGTTGTTTTGAAGCAACCATAAATTGATCTCAAACTATTGTCAATAAAAACCTCCAAGTCTATATATATAAAAAGCAGAAATAGTAAAGCAGATCTCCTCTTGTTTTGTACATACATTGTTCTTTGAATCAAAGCATGATTTGTTTACAATTAATACCTTCAAAATTAATCTACCTGCTTTAACTAGAACCTCTAATCAAAGCTGTCATTTTTTAATACTTCTCCCTTTTTCACTCTGTCTTCCAGGTTTATACCTCCAAAAGAAGAGATGGGTATGCTTTCTGTATCTTGATTCAAAAGTCAGTGACCAAAATTTTCATTAAGACAGAAAACAGTATATAAAGACTTGAGCCTATCAAGAAAAAATTATATCCAGTTATTCCTAATGAAGGAAGACATTATATTTGGAACTCTGGGGAAAAGGGCCTTTCCAATGAACAAACTTCATTCTTTCCCCTCACTAAGTAAAATCAAATGTTATTAATGGGGGATATACAACAAATATAAATTAAGGAAAAGTCAGGAAAATATTTGATAACCAAGGGTTCTAGTTTAACTCCATCATTTATTTCTTCAGTATCACTTGGGTAAGATATTGCAAATGATAAAACTCAACTTAACTATTAATACATGAAAGTCCACTGAAAGCCTCCCTAAAAATAAGCCAATGTTGTTGTTGTTGTGAAGTGCTGTTGAATTGGTTCTGACCCATAGTGACTCTGTATAGGGTTTCCAAGGAGCAGCTGGTGAGCTTGAACTGACGACCCTGCAGTTCAAACAGCTTTACAGTCTGGAGCATTAACCCACAGCGCCATACCAGTATTCCAAAACGAAGCCAATACTATAGCAATATTCTAATTTATACAAATATAATCATTCCAATAAAACAAATAAGTCGCATTAGTTTGGCATGACTTATTTTTACTGTCACTGTGCCGACTCTTATTTCTTTTTTTAGCTAGTCTGCTATTCTATTCTAACCCCCTTGCCACCGCCAATTAAATTTGGTAGACAGGGGCACGTGTTGTTTGAATATCAAAATTATCAAAAGCAATTAATAACCGGAGGAGTGTCAAGAAGATGATTGACACAGTGGCTACAACAATGAGTTCAAACATGAGAATAAATGTGAGGATGGCTCAGGACGGGGCAGTATTTCATCAGTCGTACACAGGTTGCTATGTGTCAGAACTGACTCAAAGGCACCTACCAAAACAAAACAAGCAATAACTGACTTTTATTAGCTGGCATATTGATAACATTAAAATATACCACTTAAAGAAAACCTTATCAGTCATCATGCTATATTCAGATATATTTTAGGTCATTTTATAAAATGTGAACTTTATAACCACCATATTAAATATTGGTGGTGGTGGTTATGTGCCGTGGAGTCAGAACCGACTCACAGTGTCCCTGTACAGGGTTTCTGAGGCTGTAAATCTTTACGGGAGCAGAAAGCCTCATCTTTCTCCTGCGGAACGGCTGGTAGTTTGGAACCGCCCGATTCGTAACCACGGATTAGCAATACTTTAATCTAGAAAAGCTAATGCCGTTGTCATTGTTCACTGCTGTTGTTGGTTACTGTCTTGTGACCCACGTGTGCAGAACGGAACTGCTTCATAGGGTTCTCAAGGCTGTGACCTGTCAGAAGCAGACTGTCAAGATTGTCTTTTGAGATAACTCTGAGTAGGTTCAAAGTGACAACCTTTTTACTAGTAGTCCAGTACTTAACTGTTTTGACCACAAGAGACTCCTTAGCCAAGTAAATACGGCTTCACATACGCATAACCACATATTATCAGGTATAAAGGATAAATGAAAATATCTTCAGTTCAAGTATAAATATTCTAGAATAAACTTTAAACAAAGGTTGCCACACACATATGTAGACATATATATACTACTACACAACAACTCTTTAAAGTGGTTAAGAGCAAAGATGTCAGTTTAAGGACTAACGTGTGCCTAACCCAAGCCATGGTAGTTTCAGCAGCTTCATATGCATGTGAAAGTTGGACAATAAATAAGGAAAACCATAGAGGAAAACCTCACACATTTGAATGAAGGTGTTGGAGAATATTAGAAGTACCATGGACTACCAGAAGCGCAAACAAATCTACAAGGGTGAGTCCAAAGTTATCCATACTCTGATTGTAGAATTTATTTTAACCAACTTTTAGAAAAGACAAATGCATGACTTTTCAACATAATCTCCTTGCTTTTCAATACACTCTGTCCATTATCAATGAGCTTTCATAATCCCTCATGAAAAAATGTTTTTGGCAGAATTGCGAGTCAAGAATGCACCACTATCTTCAGAAGTGAATCTTTGTTCTCACAGGGCTCATTTCAGGGGAACAAAGAGGTCAAAGTCTGATGGAGCAAAATCAAGACTATGGGGGGTTAGGGAGGGGGATGCTTTAACACCTCAAAACGAAGTTGCAATGTATTACTGTGGCCCGTTTCCTGAGAGTAACGGCAGAGTATAGAATGGAAACATCCTCAATTGCCAACCAAGAAAATGCTCAAAAGTCAACCATCATCTGGAAAATTGATACTTATAGTTTTCTGGAATTCTCAAAGGACAATATTGGAACTCTATCAAGAAAAAAGGTTCAACCATCAAGGGTGCTCATTATAATGAGATGCTCACTGAAGAGCTGAAGCCTAAACATGGGATTAAGCGCAGAGAACTGCTATACAAGGGCCTTGTGATCTTGCCTAACAATGCACGTCCTCACACATTTGCCCACACTGTTGGCAAATGCAGTAACTTCATTCTGAGGTGTGAAAGCATCCTCCCTATAGTCCTGATCTTGCTCCATCAAACTTTCACCTGCTTACTCCCCTGAAAGCAGCCCTTGCAGGATAAAGATTCCCCTCTGATGAAGTGAAGACAGTGGTTCATTCACAGCAACTCAGCCAAAAACATCTTTTAATAAAGGAATACAAATGGTTGCTGACTGATGGACAAAGTGTTTGGAAAATCCAGAAGATTATGTAAAAAACAAGCAAACAAAAAAAACGATGTATCTGTCTTTTCTAAAAGTTGATTAGAATAAATTCTACAGCCCAAGTGCAGATAATTTTTGACTCAACGTATGATGGAAGAAGTCCAGCCACAATGTTCTTTGGAAGGCAGGATGGCCACGTTTTATATAGCCTATTTTGGACATTTTACCAGGAGGGACCAGTTTCTAGAGAAGGACATCATACACAGAAAAGTGGAAGGTCAGAGAAAAAGAGGAAGACTCTTGGTAGCCTGGATCGGCACAGTGGACACCGCAATGGACTCAAGTGTAACAACTGTGAGGATAGCGCAGGACTGGGCAGTGGTGTTGTGCGCAGGGTCACTACGAGTTCGAACCAAATTGATGACACCACACAACAATGTATACTGTCACATATACAGGCTGTTACTATATATATATATATATATATATATACACACAAACACACATTTGCTAAGTGTCATTGAGTCAGCTCTGACTCATAGCAACCCTGTATGGGGTTTCCGAGGAACAACCGGTGGATCTGAACTGCTAACCTTGTGATTCACAATCCAGAGGTGATCCTACAGCGCCACACCAGGATTCCATATGTGTGTGTGTATCACATATATATGTGCAAACTCACACACACACATCATAGTTCAGTGCCATCAAGTTGTTTCAGACTCACAGTGACCCTGTATCAGGTTTCTGAGGAGCAGTTGGTAGGTTTGAACTGCCGACCTTCGGTTAGCAGTTCAGTGCTTATCCTACAACACCACACCAGGACCTCATATATGTTGTTGTTGTTGTTAAGTGCCATCGAGTCGGTTCCGACCCATAGCGACCCTGTACAGGGTTTCCGAGGGTGTAAATCTTTACGGGAGTAGAAAGCCTCATCTTTCTCCCGCGGAGTGGCTGGTAGTTTTGAACCGCTGACCTTAAGGTTCGCAGCCTGATTCATGAGGTCCTATATAAACACATACACGGAGCCCTGGTTTAGCAGTCTGAGCTCACCCAGTGGTTCCACAGGAGAAAAACCTAGCAGTCTGCTTGCATAGAAATCAGCCATGAAAATCCTGAGGCAATCTACTCTGTCACCAGGAGTTGCTGAGTCAAAACTGACCTGACAGCACACCTAACACCACAACCATGTATAAAACAAACTAAAAATGCACAAATTACAAAAAAATATATATATATATATCCTGTCCTTCCTCTTTGGGGTACACCAATAAATTATAAAAGAAAATTTAATGTATTACTTTTACTCATTTCAAACTGAGTGGACAAATAACTATTTTGAAGGATTATTTATAATTACCAAAGGTATTCAAGATGATAATGTCACCCAAAATCCCTTTAAATATATCTGAATGAAATACTACTTACAGTTACACTGTTAACATTCTGAAACTTAACATAACGAAGTGGGACAATACCGTCTTCTTTAATATCATCCGCTGTTAGTTCCAGAGCTTGTGTTGGCTCACTTCTTTCTGCCTCCTCAAAATCCATGGACCGGGGAAGGTTGATAAAAATTTTTACATATTTAGGACCCTGACCTATAAAATGGTAGAATAACATAAATGCTAAAAACCATACACATGTAATACTTTCTTCCCTTTACCATTATATTTACACTATACAGACACAGGTACACAAGTTTGCACATACTTACATAGAATCCAGGGCTTTGGACGGGTTCAGTCTGATTTGACCCCATGCTGAGAATTTGTATTTAACAAGATGCCCAGGTGATTTTTATGAATAAGAATCGTATTAGACCTTCACCTCACGCCTTGTACAAAAACCAGCTCAACATGGATTAAGGACCTATGTGAATCCCAGAATTATGAAGGTCATCAATGAAAAATTTGGGACAAATGTGAAGGCACTAATGATGGGAAGGAATACATGGACTACAAAACATTTTGAAAACGACACAAACAAAAATAGATAAAATAGATGAGTGGGACATACTAAAAATTAAAAACCTATGTACATCAAAAGACTTCACCAGAAGAGTAAAAAGGGAACCCACAGAATGGGAAAAAATCTTTTGCATTGACATATCAGACAGGGGACTCACTTCTAGAATATACAGGAAACTGCAACACCTCTACAAGAAAAAGACAAATAACCCAATTAAAAAGTGGGCACAGGATATGAACAGACACTTCACTAA